GGTTTCGTTAACATTTATCGGGGGGGTGGGGGCGAACTTTTCGTATAAGCCCAGATGTTTTTAATAGGTATTTGACTTTTTTAGTAACAAAGGTTTTAATAATGTTTGGTAATATAATACTATATTAAACTAGAAAAACCATCTATAAACTTTAAACCTTTTTGTAAAGTCCACATTTTGGTTTGGTTTTTATAGCATTTTACCTCGTTTTTAGGTGTAGTTTTAGGCAAAAAAAAATCGATGTTCTCGATATTTATAAAAAGATTTGTGAATTTTTTACCGTTAGGAACAGGAAACAGTTTAGAACTCTAACCATGAAGATTTGAAAAATTTTGCGCTTGTGAAAAAGCCGCCCTCCCCCCGATAATGCAAAAGCACTCGATTTTGACGCTGCCGTACCCTGAAATACCGTAGCTCCCTGGGGCTTTTCCTTAGTATGATGTAGCAAAGTAATGCATTTGCTATGATTCCAATGAGGGAGTAGGTGGAATAGATGATATTGAATAGAATATCGATCGAGGTCATTTTTGGGGAATGGCGGGTTTGGGTTGCGCGTTCCCTGCGAGAAAGGAAAATTCCACCTGCCTGGCCGCGGCTGGCTTGGTCATTTAACGAAACATTTTTTTTTGCGGCTGCCATGGCGAGGTCCCATTTCTAAAAGTACAAAAACATTTAGCTTGTTTCTTACTCTTTGGGTACTGGACTGTTAGCGGGGGGAACCAAATTTTTGCCGGCGCTCCGTTCCGACCCCATAACGTAATACCAACCATTTTGATAGTATGTTACACTGCTTTTAAATATAAAAACTCATCAAATTTTAATAATTATTGAATTGCCGCGTTTCGATCAAACGGATAAGAAAAATGGCCAGAAAATGGGGATTTTCGATATTTCAAAAAATGTGCATTTTTATAGCGAGTTATTTTAATGTTAAGTTTTTTAATTATCAAAAACCACTAAGAACCCTATAAAAATATATTAGATATTAACAACAAGCGAAAAAACAACAAAAATTGATGCCCCCCCCGCTAATACCGCAGTACCGTGTCCGGAATGGTTGGCTTCAACGTTTCCTTAAAAATTTCATTTTTTTTGGTATGGCAAGGTTTTGGGGAGGGCAGGCAATCTGGTCGAGATTCTATTATCATGGATTAAAAAATTAATTGTAGTTAAAAAAAGTGTTGCAATGAAATATATTATCAAGCGCAATTTACCCGCATTAATCCATTATACAATGCACTGTCCTCTCATGGCTTTGATCATTCTCTCATCTTGGACATGCTTTGGCGAAATTGCCCTTCAAAAAAATTCAGAATTCCCAAGTTTTCCTGTAACATGTTTTTGAAATTCTCGGTTCTTCTGCATTACCGGGGGGGGACTACTTTTTGCATACGTCCTGGGATGTTTAGCAGCGTACTAGAAAGCGTTTTGACGTGTTTTTAATAGGATATTTCAAGTATTTTTTATGGTCGAAAAACTTTTTTTATATCTTCCGAAAACCGGAAAAAACAAAATGACATTTTCCGGTTAAGCTAATGTCAAGACCGAGGCTATTATTTTATTGCATTTTTCGATTTTCGATCTCAGTGCAACAAACATTTTTTTGCCCAAAAAACATTTATTCATTCGTTTGCAATTTTCATGATGCAAAAAAATCGTGATAAAGGAGAGACTTTGTAGGTGAGCAATTTGGTGAATTAAATTAATTAATATAAAAATGGTAAGCACGGGGTTTGGCGAAAATTGAAACGCTTGAAAATCCAAGCAAAATTTCGAAAAATGATGATTTCGAGGGGTGATGAAGAAGATCATACAACTGTATTCATCAAAAACAGCTTTTTTGTTGTATTGGCAAAACATATGGATTTGTGAGTTATCGGGGGGGAAATCGATTTATCGATTTTTCTTCACAGGATCGTGCACTTCTTCTTCGGCGCTGCGGCAACCGGAGTCTCGGATTTTTTCGCCTAAAAAACACCGAAGCATTATTATGGAGAAATCTGGCGTTATTGGTATTTTTATAGAAACATTTTTTGAGAATCAAATATTCGAATCGTAAATGAGGCTCGATCAGCTTCAGAAGATGATTTTTTAAAATATTTTTGTAAATTTTGTCGTAAGCAAGGTCTTGCTAATTAGGCTATAATATTGATGATAAATACATGTGAAATTTAAATGCTCAATTTTTATTTACCCTAAATTTTTAATTTATTTTATTATATTAAATTTAAAGTATCTAATTTATTGATTATAAATATTAATCTAATACGATATTTAATTCTAGAAAAGTAGAAGTAAAAGTGTTAAGTAAATCCTACTATATATAAAAAAATAGTGTTTGTGTGTTTGTGTGTGTGCCACTTTGCATGCAACTTCCGTCAGGGTGTCCGGAGGATATCTCGAGAGGGAAAGGGTATTAGGCTACGTATGATACGTCATTAGGTGCGTAATGACGCTGAGATGACTGCACACACATCAGATTTTACAAATTCTGCTATTTTCGACGTTAAAATTAAGTTTTTGTTAGAAAATGGAGCACCCACTTTGTTAGGAATTAATTAGCATATGCCGGAAACGGCGCGAGCCTATATAATGGGCGGAGGGAGCGATTTTCATTTTTTTACCTGGTTTTTTCTTAAAACAATTAATTTTTTGTCGGCCCGTTTTTTGGTACTTTTTTACTGGTGTTACTTGTTTGATTTAATTAAATGTAATTTTACGATTGATATTAATAATGCTATAATTTTAAATGACTTAATTTTTAATAAAAAAAATCGAGGAAACGCCCTTCTTTGTTAAAAAATGTCTTGACAGTTTAGACAAAATACTTTGACTGACCTCCAAAACCGCAGGAGGAGGCGGCGAGCCAGAGATATCCTGAAAAGTATGCAAATTAAAAATTAAATGATCAAAAATGACAATATTAATTTGAAAAATATTCTTGATTAGTCGGAAATTAAAAAAGTATCTTTCATAAAAATTCCCTTCTAGGGCACGAGTGCTGAATCCAATGGCTTTGGGACTATCCAGAAATTTTTGTGTTAGACAACTAGGAACTCAAAATTTCAATGTAATTTTCATGATAAACATCCTACTATCCTACTATATCCTACTATATATAAAAAAATAGTGTTTGTGTGTGTGTGTGTGCATTTGAATGCAACTTCCGTCACCGTGTTCCAGTAGTATCTCAAGAAGGGAAGTACTTAGGGGGTATGTTCGATACGTCATTAGGTGCGTAATGGGCTGGAGATGACTGCACACATATCAGATTTTACAAAACATGCTGTTTTCGACATTAAAATTAAGTTTTTCATGGAAAATCGGACACCCCAATTTGTTAGGATCAAATTGGCATGCACCGGAAGTCGCGGTAGCTTATATAAAGGGGCGGCAAGAGCATTTTTCATTTTTCGTCATTAGAAACCGGGAAAATTATGCAAAGCCAAGAATATCATGGGGGCAGACGGGGCCAGGGTTGAAAAGTCGCGAAGCGACTTTTCAACCCTGGTACTATATATAAAAAAATAGTGTCTGTGTGTGTGTGTGTGTGCCACTTTGCATCCACTTCCGTCTGTCTGTCCGGAGGATATCTCAAGAGGCGAGGGTTGATAAGCTACGTATGATACGTCATTAGGTGCGTAATGGTCTAGGGATCCCTGCACACATATCAGATTTTTAAAAATTAGCTATTTTCGCTATTAAATTTAGGTTTTTATAAAAACCTCTTCGTTAGGAATAATTAGCATAGACCGGAAGTGGGCGGTCGCCTATATAAATAGGCAGAAAGCGTTGTTTTTCGTTTTTTTTTGTCTTCTGAATCGAGGACAATTATGCAAAGGGTAGAATAGTATGGGGTCCGAGACGGGGCCAGGGTTGAAAAGTCGCGAAGCGGCTTTTCAACCCTGGTGAAAATTAAAAACATAGCATAAAATAGAATATAAATTCATAACTGTGAATTTCGATAAAAAATTTAAGCAACCACCTTATCGAGGCGAGTGGTGGCCGACTCGGCGGAGGCGACGGTATCGTTGGCAACGTTCTGGATTACGGCAGCGGCCGAGGACTGTAAGAATGCGATTACTGTATCCGCGAATATAATCAATGAATGCGATATGGGAACGTGTTTCATAAAAATTAGAGCCGTTGTAAAGCCGGTGTACTTTAGTAAAAACATCCAATTTTTCAGAAAATCTGCTGTTTCAAAAAGTTAAACCTGTTTCAAAACCAGTGCTCCTTCTTAAAAAACTCAAAGTTGGGAAAGCCGTGTTTCAAAGAAATTAGATGTTCTGTAGAGGCGGTGTTGTGTAGTATACACATATTTCTTACACAAAAAAATTTTACTTCCGAAAAACCGACCACAGCCTGCCCGGTCTTTTCGGCAGTCACGTGCGCCGCCGAGGAGACGGCTTCCTAAATTTACAAAATAAAAATGTTTTGTGTTAGTTCATTATTACCGTACTCTTACAGTTATATTATATACAGTAGTTAGGCGGCGAAACGTTAGCGCGTCTGGGATGGAAAATGAACGGATACTTTTGCAGCTCCGGGGGAAGCCAAGGGGAGCGGAAACCAAGGTATTTATTATTAAAAATATCGAAAATAGACTTAAAAAGTATGATTATTACTGAAAGGGGACGGGCATGGCAAATACTATGGATTTAGTTGGTCATGGCCTCGCTAGGAGTATTTTTGTGCTCACGGTACGAGTACTAAACTGTTAGCGGGGGGGGGGGGAGCGTAAAATTTTCCGAAGTAATCCCAATCACGAAATAGAAATAATTTTTAAAAAGTTTTTTACAAATTTTTACATATTTTACATAAATGATAACAATTTTTTCACTTTTTGGCCAAAAATCTATGAAAAATACCCCAAAATTTTGATTTTCACGACGTTCTAACGATAAAAAACTAATACAAAATTATAAAAATAAATTATATATTATCAACAGGCACTAAAACTTTCCTCCCCCCCGCTAACAGTCCAATTCCACGGCGCGTGATCAGTTCAAGATATTTCGAGAATACCCCTGGCCCGGAAAATCCATAGTTATGCCTTGCACGTTCCTTTCTGATGCGGTTAATATGCTAATTTTAGCGGGGGGTTGAGCGATATTTGATGGAGATTGTGAGACCGCGGGGGCGGGAGAAAGCGAAAGAAATAAATAAAAAACAGGCTTCGACAAAGCGGACAGAGACTTCAGGCTCGAGTTGTTCTGATCCAAATCAGATCGCCATGAAATGCGGCAGGTAAAAATTCTGGATATCTGCCCAACAAAATTCTAATTTCTAATTTTGGGCAGAATCGGCAATCTTCTTTTGTATGTTTTAATAAAATTTGAAAATTTTTTAATTTTTCTTGAATTTATTTTATTTTTGTATTTAATAAAAATTTATAAAGTTTTCATGTATATCAAATTCCAGGATATCTGACCAAAAAAATTCTAATTGCTAATTTTTAGCTAGAAAATCGCCATTTCGTTCAGAAATCGATATTTTTGTATTTTTTAATAAAAGTTTGTAAGTTTTAGCGTTAAGGAATAGCAAAAACGGTTTAGAAACACCTTAAATATTCATATTTTGGAAATTTCGATACCAGGAAAAAGCCCCCGCCCCCCCCCCCCCCGATAATGCGTAAGAACCACAAGTTCGTGTCTAGGATTTGGATCATCTCCCTTTTCCCCTTGATCTGATCCGGAATAAGAACAACTGAACGTGAGGCCTATTCCGGCCATCTCCGGCAGCTCCTACTCACCCCCTGTTTTTCGCCCCACGGGTACGCGTAATCGCGTCCCTCGAAAATGCACCGCGGGCCTCAGCGATCACCTCGCGCGGTGATGCCTTTAAAAATTGGGGATACCAAGAATACCGACAAAGATATTTGGTATTTTCACGTAATGCTAAGTAGGTACGTTTAGTTGATGGAAAGGCCGGATATAAGCGGAATACCGGGTGTTGCGATCCCGAATCGGGATCGCGCAAAAATAGCACGGTTTAAAAATCCTGGAAACCTGATTCATTGTCGAACATCATATATGGGTATTGTTTCCTCTAACAAGGAATGCTTTTTTGATTCATCGACTAAACCTTACGGGACCCAGCTCATTCGATAGAGAATTTGATTCTGAACAAGACTCCGTTTTTTGCGGAATGGCTATCCCTGGTTTTATAAAATTTTAAAACTGCACCCAAAAGCCGCTCTTTTTGCTCGAAAGGCACTCATGGTAAGAGACGGACTGGTATTTTAATTTTATAAAATCAGGGATAGCCATTCCGCAAAAAAAGGACAACGGAGTCGCTCAGAATTGAATTCTCTATCGAATGAGCTAGGTATCGTAGGGTTTTGCCGATGACTCAAAAAAAGCACTCCTTGTAAGGGTTGGGTTTAAAAACATACCGCAGCCTTCTTGGATGTCTCGACGGTGGTGTCGACGGCCACCTGGGCAGCGTTGGACACGCTCTCCGCTGCTGACGTCTGAAAAATGCGAGTTTACATATCGCTCTCTCTCACTCCATCTCTCTCCCGCCCTCTCTCTCTATCTATCTATCTATTTATCTCACTATCTCTCTTTCTCTCTCTCTCTCTCTCTCTCTCTCTCTCTCTATCTCGCACTCTCTCTTTTCGTTAGATTTTCCAGCACAAAAACATGTGTTTCCAAACACGTATGGGTAGCGAATGCCATCCCTCGATTAATCTCCCGGTTTGTGATACAGACAAGATCATATTTTCATCGCAAATGGTTACATTAATAAAATATTACAAAACCTTTGCTATTAACTAAAATATAGCTGGTAATTAAGGTGCCTAAAAAACCGACCGCCATCTCCTTGGCCTTCTCAGCCACAGCGGCCGCCGAATCCTTGGTGGCCTCCCAGGCGTTGGCCGCCTTTTCGGTTACGGTAGCCGCGGCTTCGGATGTCTTTTCCTGGAAAATTAGTGATTTTGAGCATTAATTAGTAGTTTTGAACTAATAATACACAATTATTATCACTATTTTTAACGTTAAAAAGAGTCAATAAAAATCCGCAAAAAAATGCCGAGTTTGCAAAAAAATGTTTCGAAAAATTGTCTAGTGGTTCATTTTAGAAAAGCGAAAAAGCGAATATTCGCCGGAGAAGCTAATCGTAGTAATTTACCTATTATTTTGCGAAATTTTTTCGATCACACTTATTACAGGGTGCGTCAAAAAAAAAGAGCCAAGTTTGCACCAAAATATCTCGCTTATCTTTGAGAATCGAAGGTACGTTACCATGCCAGAATGCTTAAATATGCTGGGTATGAAGATTTAACACAACTTGATTTTTTCGATTTTTGAGTACGCAACTGTACTATTGACGCTGGTTACGACCGAAAATTGTGCGTTCTTGATTGGGTGGTGGGAAAATTCTGATTTTTGGCCTATAAATAGTTGACATTTGTAGAAAAATAATAGCAAAGTCTTAGAATTTTTGAAGGTTTAGTTCTTTTTTTACAGGCAAAACAAATTTCTCTATTTTGCTTATTTTTACTTTTTAATTCGGAACTCGCTTCAAATCCGCAGCCCATGGCTGACCTTTTGCAGCTGGTGCCTCCGAATGATAATCTTTAGCCCAACACCAAATTTTAACTGATTCTATGGTATTTTAATATTGCGTGCTAAAACGTGCCCCAGAGGGATACTGTAGTTTTTGTTTTTCGCGTTTTTCTTTTTATTGTAAGCTGCGATTTCGCTTAAAATTTTATCATTGGTAAACACCAGTAAGGGTCACCTATTGGCCAAAGATCGTGGAGTTCTAGCCATATACCTTCCCAAAATATGCAAAAAACTTATTTTTGAATTTAGCCACGGAAATTTCTAAATATTTTGATGCATCGGACTGAAAACTACTGTTATTTGTTTTCCTGACAGATCGAAACGTTTCTATGGTGAAAAAGAGCGAGAAAACAGCGATTTTCTGTTTTCTACCGTAACCCGCCTGGAGCGCGTTTTAGCATGCCAAGACAAAATGCCATAAAATCTCAATTTTTCTATTCTAGAATGTTCACTGGGCGATTGTAAGAGCACCTACAAAAAATTACTTGATTCCTGTGGCAAATGACAAAGTTATCAGGGAAAGTGGAAAACCCTCCTTGGGCCCCGATTTTGGACCGGACACCCTGGCTCGAAAATCGAATTTTTGAAAATGAAAAAGGCATCGGGATTTGGTGGATACAATTAAAGCACGCATCGAACTGTGCATGAGAGCAGAATTCTGGAATTATCTGGTAGAAGTTAATGGTTGATTTTGATTTAAAACCCGAAAATAACGTTTTTTGAAAAGCCGACTTTGGCGAGCTCTTCTAAATTCGTTTGCCAAGAAAGATTTTGTATTTGCATGGGTTCTAGTTGACTACCCAAGCTGAGTTTATGCCAAAAAAGTTGAGGCTACTAAAGCCTCGAGAATTTTTTTACGTCGCCTCGAATTCGGGTATATTTGGACTCTATTATGAATTTCTTTTGAGAGATCGGATGGCCCAATAAATTTGTAAATATAATTTTAGAACGCGCCCATTAAGTAGTATTAAATAAAATTACGACAATAATTCTAACCGCGCAATTGAATTTTATAGACTGGCACTAAGGTCTGCGAAATAGCACGAACCAACCGTTTTGGAAGCGCTAAAAGGCAACCTTCCAAAGGGGTACGGTAGCTAGAAATTGTCTACATGATAGATGGACCCCAGTAGTACACAACCAAGCAAAGAAAACACCGAAATTCTATCTACAATTTTAGAAATATTTTTGCAAAGTTCAGTTTCGTGACCTCGAAAGAATCCATGACCAGGGGGTCGTCGAAAAACTCAAAAATCCGCGGATCTGAAATTTTTTTTTATATTTTTGCGGGATTGTATCAAGACTATAGACATCCTAAGACAGCTTATTTTGAGGTTTCTACCATAGGTTTTTGTAATATTCGAAATTTACGAAATTTCTCCATATTAAATTTGAGCACGCTATAACTTGCCAACTAGACCTTCGAAAATTCCAAAATTCCGGATGTGAGTAGGTGCAATTCTTATGTATCCACACTGTAAAAACTGAAACCGCTCGACCACCAGCAATCCAAAAAACTGCAAACAAAGTTTTGCCGGAACGCACAGTTTTCGGGTGTCATTTGTATTGATACGTCGCCAAAAATCGAAAAAATCAAGTTGTGTTAAATCTTCATACCCAGCATATTTAAGCATTCTGGCATGGTAACGTACCTTCGATTCTCAAAGATAAGCGAGATATTTTGGTGCAAACTTGGCTCTTTTTTTTTGACGCACCCTGTATTCGCTTGCGTAAAATATAGATAATATTTACAAATTAAAAAATTCGTGACTAAATAAAGTTAAAAAATTTAAATTATAAGGTAATAGTAATACTTCAAAAACTGACCTCAGCCTTGTGGGCGGCTTCATCGGCTTTGTCCGCCACGACAGCCGCGGATTCCTTTGTGGACTCCCAGGCGTTTGAAGCCTTCTCGGCTGCCGAGTCGGCCACGTCGGCCGCTTTTTCCTGGAAAAAATTTGATGTTTCGAAAATAACTGATTTTACGACAACTTCAGAGGCTGTAATTGCTCGAATGCTCCAGGTCTTACCTTGAAAGTTTTTCAAATCATCAAAATTTATCGGAAATACGAAATATAATTGATTAAGGTTATTTTGAAACTATTTTAGCAATAATAAAATGCACAGGCAATAGAGAATAATTAATACATTATTTTGATGCTTTCAACGATAAGTATAAAAATGATCATGAAAAATAAATTTGTTAAAGCCTGACAGTTAAAAAGGCCACCTAAAATCATTAAAAATTTGGGGACTACGGTACTTAGCCGATTACGACACATAATTCGATCTACCTGAGCTTTCTCGGCGGTCTCTTTGGTGGCCTCCCAAGCGTGAGAAGCCTTCTCGTGGGCAGCTTCCGACACATTTTCGGCTTTTTCCTGGATTGAAACACGGTTTTGTAAATAAATCGAATTCTATATGATATTTCTTGTCTTGTATCTAAATGTTTCCCTGCTAATAATAGTTCCCTAGTTTTATAATTTACTGAGCGGTTTTTGAATACTTGAAATTACAGAAAACGCATGTTAAAATTCTGAGAGGTTTTGGTCATTTTTCTTCCATTTTTATATCGAAAAACCGAGGAAAAATGCAATAAAAATGGTTTATACTTTGTTGAAGGATTATTTCTTTGCAAAATTAAGAACCAAAAACCTGATACTTTTTGGAAACATTCTTTCCGAAAAATCCCAACAGAAAAACCATCACATTACCTGCACGGTCTCGACGGCTTCGTTGGCAGATTGCATGGCCGATTCGGCCACCTCGTGGGCTACTAAAAATTAGGTTTCAAGAAAATTTAATTAGAAGCCAGCGATTTAAAGCGAATTTTACGCATGTAATTGATTATAAAATCATTATTTAATAATATCATAATTGTTATAAAATTACAACTAACCGTCCTTCGTCTCCTCAACAGCTGATTTGGCGGCCTCCTGAGCGACGGCGGCTTCTTCGTGCGCTTTTTCTTGGGTAGAAGTGAGCAGCTAAAAAACGGCCATAGACGTAAAATTATCTTCCTCGAAAATCATCTTGACAAGGCTTTTTTCATCAAACACATTTTTTTTATGAAAAATCTTGACTTTCTCACCTCATCTACCTTATCCTTGGCCTCATCATATTTTCCCTGGGCGGCCGAGAGCGCTTCGTCTTTTGACTAAAAATGATAATAAATTAAATTGTTCTTGATATCAACCATATTACCAATTAAGCAGTTAATAATAATTAAAAGCATAAAACTTTAAGGGTAATGGTAAAAATGCAAATGGCATGTTTTATGTATTTTTGCAATTTGCTGAAAAACATTCCTTCTTCGGATTTTCGAAAAATAAAAATTCGAATTCCGTGGTTTGTAAAATTCGAATTTCATGCTTATCTAGGCAAAAAATAGCTAACAATAAGAATAAAATTAATAATAATACTAATAATAAGAAAAACAACATAGAAAAATAAAAAATTTGGTTTTGTTCGTTAATCAAGAAGTTTAAGGACCTTTTGAAGTAGAAAAGTTGAAACATATAGATCTTAAATGCACAACCCAAGAATTCAGGAATTACTCTTATTAAATTCAGACAAAAATAATAAATAAAGAATATACCTCCTCGGCCTCGCTGGCCAAATCCTGAGCCTTCTCCTTCAGCCCCTGCCAGTAGCCGTCGGCCTGAACATTCAATGATACAATTCAGCGCCAAGAAAAATTTTCTGGCAAAAGTTTTTTGAAACATATGTTTTCTATGCCAATTTTTGGCCCATTGCCAATCGCTAACGTAAGTAATGTACAACTGGAAATACAGGCGCTACAATACTGCTAGGAAATACATACCGGAAGCAAAAAACAGTCGCTTTTGATAAAAATTAAAAAAAATCCGTTTCGTTGCTGAAGCTGTTAGCCTGCGGAGCGAGTAACATAATATTGCCTTCAAGGTCGCCTTTGTGTTCTAATCAATTTTTAGCAATACTTGTGTAGTTTTTTGAAAATTTTGGATCAAGAAAATTACGGTTTTTTTTATTGCTACAGTACAGCCGGGTAGAAAAGTTAATCACGATGATAATAAATATGTTGTGTATAAATAAATAATGAATAATCACGATAAACTTTCGCTACATTAAAAAGTGGTAACGACAAGGTAAAGTAAAAAAAGTACTATAATTATCGTAGCAGTATTAGTTTTATATGCTCCATTAAAGAGTTTTTTTCTGAACAATACCCCCAAGACCACTACGCTAATTTCCAACTTACAGCTTCTGCTCCAGCGGTCGTCTCCTGTTCGGCACGTTGGCTGAACTCCTCGACGACGTTCCGCAAATTGCCCTCCACTTGGCCAAGATTGTCCGCCAAATCGTGGGCCGCCTGCAAAGTTGAATTTCTTTAATAATAATATAATACAATAGATGTTCCGTTTTATTTTTGTGTAAGACTTTTTGGATACGTGCGGAAAACCGGATTCTGTTATTTATGACCGGTCGAAATTGGCTAAATGGTGAAACACTTAAAAAATTCACAAAATTTGTTCATTTATTTTATATTATTTTTATTTTATTTTCATTATATGAATTTCTTGCTTTTTAATGAATACAAACTAAGTTAAATATATGTAGTTTGACCCACTTTTATCCATAGGAAACTTAGTTTGTGATCTTTTTGGTTCTTTTTCGTTCTCTTAAAATTGGGCCAAATATTGAAACTTTAAAAAAAACATAAACCGCTGGCCCTTTTTGTATTAGTATTATTTATTATGTTTATATTCAAGTTGGATCAATTATTTTAAAGGAAAATCGCCTTCCCAGTAATTTCAACGAAACACCCTTTTTTACCTCGTGCACGGGCTCGGCAACGTTGACTGCCGTGTCGTCCACCGGATCTTCTGGCTCGCTGATGTGCTTCTCCAACTAAAATTATACTTGAAAACAGATTTTATTAAACCAAAAAACTGGGACAAATACAATAGGAAAAATGGTACTGGACCATTAGCGGGGGGATTTTTGCCGGAAGGAAGCTAACTTTTGTGTTTTTCCTAGACCTCTGATGAGCAATAAACAGCGCATTTTGAAAATTTTGTTTTCATTAGTTTTTGCTCGCCAGGAAATACAGAGATTCAGAAATTTATTGGTCATTTTTGGCGGCTTTTAGCTTTTAACGTGCCGTTAATTTTTTACTTTAGGTGGCTATAAAACCCGCCTAGTTTTTATAGGGCCGTAGCCGTTTGACGAGGAAAAAGAGTACCCCCGATGACAGAGCAGCTCCGGAAAAACAACAACACACATTGGTCAAATTAGTGTGTTTCATTTGACCAAGATCAGGCACGCATTCGACCGAAAGGAATAAAATTTTGTACGATAAAAACGAAAAACGGAATGTGGTACGTTAAGTAAAGAGCCTGATGAATAGAAAAGTATCAAAATTAAAGGTTCCACATAATTAGTTTTGTAAAAAATAGCAAAATAACCTCGTCGGTGTTGACGTTTTCGACGTGGTCGGCCACCGACAGCGTGGTGTGCTAAAAATTAATATATATATTTTTAATTTTTTAAAACTGACATTATGGGGTTTAGTAAAAAATAAGTATATTTGTAAAGTATAAATAGATGAATGAAGTTTTGATTAAAAACCTACATGAACCTGTTCGCCCTTCTCTCCTGTATAGTCAAGGGCGGTGTGGGCGGTCTCCTCCAGTTGGGACGGCTCGTGAACTGGAGAGGGTTCCTTCTGGAAAGTGCACTTTAGAGAGCCTAAAAAATGTTGCACAAATTCGCAGAGATCTGTGAAAATTTATCCTTAATGATGCTTTCAGGTTGGGGAAAAATTCAAAAACGACGCTACCTGTAGCGAACTGCGTGCTATTCTATTTAATTCTAATTTAATATGAAAAAAGCTAGGTACAAGTATTGTTTAAACCAAAAAGTTGATACCACGTTTATGATATCCTCAGAAAAATTGCAGTTTTTGAAAAGTTGTGTTTCTTAAAATTGTCAATTTCCGGAAACATTTTGGCTAGCAGTTGCTGCATGAGGTGAAATCGAAACAATGGTAAAATCTATTTCTTACGGTCGGAAGATAATAAAATGCTTGCATCGTTAAGATTAAAAGGAAAAAGCACTAATCGACAGCTTTTCAAAAATTGTAACGTTGTTTCATGAAACGGCAAAAATATTTGGTTTATTAAGCACCTACCACGTGGTCGGCGAGGAGTTCGGTGTGCACCTTCTTTTCGATGGTCTCCTGCAAAAAACCCAAATATAAGAAGGTAAGCCAGGTAAGCCTTAGGGTAAGCCAGGTTCTCGTTCTTACCGTAGGGGGCTGGGGTTTTCCTATTTTAATAGATTTTTTTCTCTTAAAAAATAACCGATTTTTGGCCAACAATGGCCAATTTCGACAAAATTTCGAAGAATTAAATATGTCTCAAAGGTTTTTAGAATGTTTTTAACCCAAGGTGTTTTTTTGTAATATATTGTAAACACATTAAATTTAATGACAAATAAAATTGGGCATTAATAATAATTATGTTGGCAAGAAAACTAGTAAATTTTAATATTTCGTCGAACCTGTCTTAACGGGGGATGGTCAGAGCTAGGGTTGTTATATGAGTTGACTTGAATGCAAGTTAACTTGCCAAAAATTATGCAAACTGCGACTTGCCTTCGAGTTTACTTGAATGATTCGAGCTCATTTTCGTGCAAGTTATTTTCAGGCAAGTAAACTTGGGATGCAAACTCAACTCGATGGCAAAATAACTTGCCAAGTTTTGACTCGAATGCTGGCAAGTTTTTTTGGTGGCAAGTCAACTTGCCATGCAAACTCAGTTTGATGGCAAGTTAACTTGCCTGCAAAATAACTTGTCGGAAGTCGCGGAATGTTAATTTATGCTAAATCGAAATTGTAAGCTGAAATAGACAGTATGGCAATTCCCAAACACGGATCCTGGTGGAAAATTCCGACAGTGTCCATAATACCGTGTCTAAAAGAACGAAATACCGACAGATGCTTTAAAAACCTACCGCGCGAAGAAAAACCTCTCAAAAGGAAAATAATCCTGAACAACTACGGAATGTCTAAACATTGGCGAAATAGTGAAAATGCCGACAATTAGCCAAACTTAAACATCGATAATGCCGTGCCCCTGGTAGATCGAGAAATTTAACAATTTAAAAATTTTACCATTTACGACAAGTGGATGTGGGATTAATGTGGTTTTCGGTATTTCGGTCTTTTAGACACGGTATTATGGACACTGTCGGCATTTTCCACCAGGATCCGTGTTTGGGAATTGCCATACTGTCTATTTCAGCTTACAATTTCGATTTAGCATAAATTAACATTCCGCGACTTCCGACAAGTTATTTTGCAGGCAAGTTAACTTGCCATCAAACTGACTAGGGAAGTGCAAATAAAAAACCCAGCAAACCGCTTAGCAAAAATATGGGTCTGATAGAGTCGGCGACGGGGATTCCGAAACTGCAATCAGAATTTGCTAAACGCTTAATACAAAATAGTTATGAGCATTTTAAGTTTTGCACTACATTCTCCGCCCTCCCTTATGGGCTCCTCCCAAAGATGGGTGTCCGCCTGTCGAGTGGTGTAGTGGCTAACTACCATGCCTCTGGGGCGGAGGGTCTCTGGTTCGACTCCCCGGTCATGCAAAACTTTTCGCTTTTTGGTCAAAGTCAACAACTTTAGACTTTTTCAAAGTTTCGAAGTCGAAAAGGTCGTTCTCTTAATTTTTAAATTTATGAAACTGATTGAAAAGTGGTGGCGGGAGTGTCAGTACTCTTGCGGATAGGGCACTAATAAAATTCACTTCTATTTTTTCGTAAGGCAGGCCTAGACGCAGTCAATAATAAAGAAAATTTTAACAAATCTAAATTTCGGACTTCGAAACTTTGAAAAAGTCTAAAGTTGTTGACTTTGACCAAAAAGCAAAAAGTTTTGCATGACCGGGGAGTCGAACCAGAGACCCTCCGCCCCAGAGGCATGGTAGTTAGCCACTACACCACTCGACAGGCGGACACCCATCTTTGGGAGGAGCCCATAAGGGAGGGCGGAGAATGTAGTGCAAAACTTAAAATGCTCATAACTATTTTGTATTAAGCGTTTAGCAAATTCTGATTGCAGTTTCGGAATCCCCGTCGCCGACTCTATCAGACCCATATTTTTGCTAAGCGGTTTGCTGGGTTTTTTATTTGCACTTCCCTAGTGAGTTTGCATGGCAAGTTGACTTGCCACCAAAAAACTTGCCAGCATTCGAGTCAAAACTTGGCAAGTTATTTTGCCATCGAGTTGAGTTTGCATCCCAAGTTTAATTGCCAACAAAATAACTTGGCCGGATCAAGTAAAGTTCCTTGCAAACAAACTTGCGTGCAAGTCAACTCATATAACAACCCTAGTCAGAGCTCTAATTTCCCGTGAACTCGAGCAATAATTACCTCAACATCCTCAGCTTTCTCCTCGGCCGGCTTCACAAATTCGTGGGCTTGTTCCTGAAAATTTTTAAGCCTTGACGATTTTTGTAAGAACGTTGCATTTTAATCTCAATTTGGTTATTCTTTATCTTTGCGGCATTTCATCGTGTAGAAAAGTTGTAAAGTATAAAGATCCCGATTGGCACAGCTTACTTTCCCCGCTCATATCCGTTCCTTTGTTAAAACATTTTTTTATTGAAAATTTGCTTTTTTTCGGTGATCAAAACTGCTCAAAATAATATGTTTTTGACTATAGGTTTTTTTTAAAACGCTTAGCACCTCTAGTCAGCATGGCGGCTATGCTTGAAATCTTTTTTAAGTTTCGATCCATTATATTTAACTCCCAAATTTGTTTTTTTTTATCGAAAACGTTATAAAAAGGTTTAAAGATAGCTACAGATGCTGAAATCCCAGCTTTCCATCTACATATAAGCTTCCTAGCGCATATCGTTTGTTGTTGAAACATTTTCTAAAAATTTTCCTCGGATTTTCGCATAAAAATTTAAGAAAAGTGGCATGTCCTTCGATCTTAAATAGTCTCCGTCACCCGTATCATTTATTTGTTGAAACATTTTTCGAAAAATCGGCACGGATATTTGGCATCAAACTTTAAGAAAAATAGAAGTTTTACAGTTTTACAGCCAGTTTCAAAAATTTGAGAAGCTAATCTGCACTGCATTTGACGCTGCATTTAATTTGATTATTTAATTGATAAAATCACATTTTGCCCTAGAATTGAACTTTAGACAAATGATACCTTGGCCTTCTCCCAATCCTCTTGCAAATTTTCGGTGGTCGTCTTCAGATGGGCGTCGGCTTCTTTGCTCAGAGAATCCTAAAAATGGAAAGTTAATTTAAAATTTAAATTGATTTCTTTATTTAATAAGCGCCTTTATAAAGGTCAGTGAAGTTAAAAATATATAAAAACCAACTCCCCAAATCGGCGCGGCATCATTCTGCAGCTCCAGCCACCTTCTCCTGCGCGTGGCCGTAGGCCTCAGAGATCTGCAATTAATAACGCTTTATAATAAACATTGAAAATTAATAAATCTACATGGATTGCGAATGCTTTTATTTAGTTTTTTAATTAAAAATATGTAATAGTCAAATTCAGAAACTCGATACATCCAATGAGATCGATAACCTGTATTCCCGTGGTAAATTGCCACCCCCTGACAAAAGTTTGAAACAGTTGAAAGTTGAAATAGCTAAGCCTGAGTATATTAAAAGAATTGAAAAATTTTTAGCTAAAATAATACCTTTTCGCCGGCGGCATCGTACACCTCGTGGGCCTTGGCGGACGCAGCCTCGCTGCCCTGCTTCACCGACTCGACCAGACTGTCCGCCGCATGCTAAATATTCAGAAAATACATAAGGTAAAAAGTAATATTTTGCACGTTAATGATAGCCTGGATTTTCAAACCTCCATGATAACCCCATTAAGCTATATTATCGCTGACCTTTTTACTACTCAGGATTGAAACACGAACTCTTAACCACGGGTTTCCAAAACGCTTTCTGCTAGCTTGCTAACACTCACGCTCTCTCTCTCTCTCTCTCTCACTCTCTATCTCTCTCTCTCACTTTTCCCAGCAACCCCTGATAGTTTGCGGTCCCTAAATAACCCCTGCTGGCCTGCCGGCAATTCTTAAAGAAACCACTTTTCCAGCTTTCCTAAGAATCTCTGCTAGTTTGCCCTTATATTTTTCAAAAAGGGGAAAATCAACTTGACGAAGACGGTGAACAGCTACTTTTGGGAACCACCCCTATAAACTACTGCTTTAAAACACGATAATTTTAACAAAAACATCTAAATACCTTGGTAACTTTGATTTACACTAGTATTAAAAATAAGCATTTTACTTAAATTTGATAAAAAAAGTTTTACCTGCGCCTGCTCGGCGGCATCGTGCAGACCCTGCTTTGTCGATTCGAGGAGGTTATCCTGAAAATAGGTGTTGCAAGACATTTTAAACATCAAGCTACCATAACGCCGGTCTTTTCTCGCTCAACTTGTCGACAGCCTCGGCGAGGTGTTCGACCAACGCGGTGGTAGTCTTCTTTAAGTTTTTCTGGAATTAAATCTGGGTTATGAAATCGTGCGAATTATACGCCGAATTACAGCCATTAAAACATTTTAATGGCACTGATCTGTGAAACGTTTTTTTTTTTGGATGTTGGGAATTCAGTGCCTAAAAACTCTAAACAACTGTGAAAATGTTGGAATTTAAGGCGAAAATCAATATTTTTGGATTTTTTCGTAAGGATTTGGAAAGCTGTGTTTTGTTCAGGAATAGTAATGCGATTTTAGAAACAGCTCCTTTTTTGGAAAAATTCGAATGGCAGACAATGTGTCACTAACTGGTGTTAGGTGATCACGCAGGTTAGTTTTGTTTGAAGCATATTTTTTTAAAAAACGCCACCCACCACCGACTCGACTTCGGAGATGTCCTGCACCAGCTCGTTGACGCCTTCAACGAGTTTGTCCTGTAATTAAGTATTGATTTCTATTATTCACTGTTTGGCTATTAAAAATTTGTCTGAAACTGAGCACAGCTCTAAACAAATACCAAAAGAGCTCGCGGTAAACTAATATGTTTCGAACCACAGAGAGATACAGATCGAACGATATTTGTTAGTATATCGCTTATTGCTGCCGAATTTTTGCAAAAGGTCTTTGTGAGAATATAGTATAATAACAAAATGTTAATATAAGAATAATAATAACCTTAGAACGTTTAATATAATAATAAAACTAATTTAAAAATTACACCATACTAGATAATGGGCCGCAACGGTTATGAAAGCATTGACTTAAGTGAGTCAGTTCACGGTTACGTGCTTGACGAAACATTGAATTCTTCCGGTTCTCATGAAATTCATATGAACTGGCGGCAATGTAATGACATAATTAATATCATTCCTGATTCCGGTTAATAGAAATTCGATTTATATACAAATGTCCATATTTTCGATAGTAAAAATGGAAGTCTACAAAAGTGGTTTAATAACTTGAAGTTTAACTTGATGATGACGAAAATAGGTCAATTTCTAAAAAAACCTGGATTTCAAGTGTCATTACGGTAGTAAATAAAAGAGTTGCAGCTGAAACGGTTAATTAAAGTGTGCTTTTATATAAAAGTAGATAAGAAACTAAAAACAATTTTTGAACAGGAAAGTTGGGGAATTTTAGACCTGGAGCAATTCCTGGGATTAAAGTCTAGTTTTCAAACCAAAACACATGCACCTAAGAAACATAGAGTTTTTGGAGGGGTTTTTGAATAACTAATCAAATTCGGCCGCGTTTACAGTTTAAAATTTAAATTTAATGGATTTTTAGGTATAATTGCTACATTTTTAAGAGCAAGAAATCTATAAACAAGCTGTTAAAATGCCGGCAAGGATCAAAATTGTACACCTACTCTATCGACAAAGGTTCGGTTTTTAAAGCGAGTGAGATGCTGTATGACAGCTAGACTAAATTATTCAGCGTAAAAAAAACATTTTCGAGCAAGAAAATCAGGGATTTCGAAGAGAAAGCGTATATTCATTATTGACGTTTTTCAAACGAAAACACAAGCACCGAAGAAACATAGATTTTCGGCGGCCACGACCGCTAGGGGCAAATAATGTCAGTCGGCCAGGGATGGGGGCAATTAATCAGGTGGCCGGGGGGCAGGGAGAAGCCATTCGAGAATGCATGGCAACCAGCTGGGACCCAGAATGACTGAATCGCCCAGTGAAAAATTGATGTTACTAGTAGGAGCCCAGATAAAAATGATGTCCTGATTTTAGTAGTGTTGTTTTTCGATGGCTTTTCCAAAAACGTGAGTTGGCGGGGTTTCGGGGAGACTTTTTCGTAACTTTTTAAAAAATACGGATCAATAAAAAACATGCACAAGATAAAGTATGTTTACAAATATGTGTATGATAAAAATTTTGATTTTGGTAGTAATGAATGATCTCTGCGCAACGGCTTATTGTTTTGGTTTTTGGCAATCTCTGCCATTTTTGTAATTTGTTAAAATATGGCGTTAAACCTATGCCGAAGTTTTGTATAGCTTTGCACTACAACGATATTGATTACCCTATGATATTGCGTTAAAAAGTATGTTACAAGAAGGTGCATAGAAAAAAATGTCGGACTCAGTGGTTCAATTGCATTTGGTTGCATTGCCAGAGTTGGCCTAGGGGAATTCATTTACAAGTCGAGAAGCCGTAATAATGTAATAGTAAGTGTTTTAATACGGTTGTTATTAAAATGTAACTATTTGCAAAGTTTTGGTCGTAATTTATAAAGTTTTGACGTGTACAGTTCGTCAAGTAACCTAGGCTACTTCCGCTTTTTATTTTACAAAATTTGCAGCTTTAGGAATAGAACGTTGAGGCTTACAGGTCGAAAATAGCCATTAAAAAAACCCCCATAACACGATATATTTGGTAAGAAAACGTGCGGTCCGGGATTGTCGATAGTCCAACCACTCGTTTTATCCGCGTTTTTGCAACATTTAAATTTTCTTGCGACAATCCCCAAGGTGGTGGGTTTTTGTGCAGCAATGGATTTGCAAGGAAATTCGAATTTTGATCAATTTCTCCTACAACGTTTCGAATTCTGTGGGAAATATAATCTAGCTAGATGAAATTTCATTGAAAATCTCTTACAAAAAGGAAGTTTCAAAAACTCCCATTGATTTCTGTGCAAAAAATTCGGTAATAGACAGCGGCTCTGAACCTAAATAAAAGCCAAAAGATTAAATCAACACAGCAAGGCGTAACGTTGTTTTAAAATGCATTAAAATCATTGTTATAAATTATATTAAATTCAATTCAGGAATTTAATAATATAGAACATACAAATTAACTATAACAATAGTCAAATACAAAACACTTAAAAAACCATTTATTTTCGAATTTCGAATTTTTCGACTGAATTCCGTATCGATTACAAACTATTGACTAGGTGCGGTATCATAAATTCTGAAAATCAATCTTTAACCAGGGTTGAAAAACCGCTTCGCGGCTTTTCAACCCTGGCCCCTTCTAGGACCTATGAAAGTATTGACTTTGCATAATTGTTGCCGAAAACCGAACACCAAAAAAATGAAAACTACGCCCTCCCTTCCTTTTTATAAGCCACCTCCACTTCCGGCGTATGCTAATTTCTCCCTAACAAAGAGGCGAGCCAAGATTTTTACAAAAACCTAATTTTAATAGCGAAAATAGCAACTTTTCAAAGTTTTTATGTGCGTGCAGTCGATTCCGGCCCCTTCTTGACCCTATGACGTTTCTTCCCTACCGAAAAAATGCTTCCCTGAGGCTGTAGGTGCGGAACATCCAAACGGAAGTGTATGCAAATATACACACACACACACACAAACACTATTTTTTTATATATAGTAGGATATTATTGTTTTTAAGTGCATTTTGTCACGTCCCCGTGACGATCACGGTTATCTAACCTAATAAATCCCTCAAATAACTATAACTCAATACAATACGCTGCTACGAGCAGCCTTCTCCTTCTTGCCGGCAATCCTCCGAAGCCCGCAGAGCCGTGCTGATTGACCGTGTTCCCCGTCTCTTCTCTATGGGCGTCTCCGCGATCCAGTGCCACGCCACACGAACGCCACCAAGCTGCCTGGGGAGGCGTCCTCGGACGCTTGAATCAGATCGAGACGCTGCGCAAGGCGAAAGAGGACAGCAACCGCCACTGCATCATCCAGGGCTGCGACAAGCTGCATAGCATTAAAATGCACCTGCTCGGCATCAAGAAGATTCGCGAGCGTCTAGAACTCGCAGCTCATCTCAACGTAATGCTTATACTTTCGCCTTATTAACAATCGTCTTGTCAAAATTACCAATATTAACCCTCCAATTTCAGGTATGTCTCAATTGTGCGAAGGCCCATCAGGGCCTCTGTGCCTTTCCCCCTGAGAAGTCTAAGACATGCGCAGACGGCAGCATCCACATCTCTATGCTGTGCCCGATGCGCGTATTGGACGACGATGTGCCCTAAATTGCTACGACAACACTTCCGCCACCTACTCCCTCGACATTACCGGATCGGCTACAAAGACACCGCCCTAACCCTTTCCACCCCCACAATTACTTCTCGCTTGATACATATGTAACGGAATTATGAATAAAAGGCTGTGACCTCTTTTCATTCGACGTGCATTTATGGTGTTCCTCTCCGGCTGCGGCTTTAAGACCGTATGGTCGATTTCTCGTCCCCCGGGAGGGCATCGCGCCAAATGCGGCGCAGATGTAAAATTACATAAAAAATTCTAATATAAACACTCGTCCCCCGGGAGTGTCACGTCCCCGTGACGATCACGGTTATCTAACCTAATAAATCCTGTCAAATAACAGCTTTATAACTCAATACAATACGCTGCTACGAGCAGCCTTCTCCTTCTTGCCGGCAATCCTCCGAAGCCCGCAGAGCCGTGCTGATTGACCGTGTTCCCCGTCTCTTCTCTATGGGCGTCTCCGCGATCCAGGGCCACAACATCGTGTTCAAGTACAAGCCCTCGTCCACCGACGTTCGCATGTCCACTTTGCATGCGGCTCCTCGGCAACCGGAAGACGTCCCTGTGTTGCCTCCGTTCCCGACTACATAAGCTGCCCCTTCTCCCTCTCTTCAAGACAAGTCGACTTCAACACCTTCGTCTTCCCGGGTTCAAGCTAGCTGTTCGCCACCGCGAAGCGTCGTCTGATTCCCGGCCTTCTTCTACGCCTTATTCGTGCTCGCCTTCATCGCCATCGCCTTTGCCTTATTCCCGTTTTCCCGTTTTTGTCGTTTATTGTAACAGACTACCCCACCGGGAGTCTGTAATAAACTGTATCCCCCTGTCCCAGTCGTTTGCTCTCCCAGGCTATCGAGGCGCAAATTCTTGTCACAGTCGTGACACATTTTTTATTTTAATTTCTATTTACAATATAATTGATGTTATAAAATCTTTAATAATTCATCGTAATTGCCTATCCCGAAAAATAAAAATAGAAACAAAATAGGAACATTTATTTTTGAAATCGACGATTTAAAGATAAATTCACGATTTAATTAAATCAATAAATCAATATTTATAAAAATATAGTAATACGAACAGGTGTGGGCCAGACTCAGGGGGATACGATTTGTTTATAACCGGAGGGGATGCATCGCGTGGGGGCCGTGGGGCAGTATGCGATGCGGGGGTTTTGTCCTCCGGGGGCACGAAATTAAAGCCGGCCTGGGGGGAGGAGGAGCACAATCTCTCCCTCTCTCTCGCTCTCTCGCTCTCTCGCTCTCTCGCTCTCTCGATGCGTGGAGAGAAAGTTTAAAGTGTTTCTCCTAAAGACAAAACCACATCTTGGAGGGGGACAGGTCACTTTCCGGCCGCTCTCAAGGGGCGGCCGGCTCAATTACGTCCAGCTGGGCAGCACGCCAATATGTTCGCGGGGAGAGAGAGAGAGAGAGAGAGAGAGAGAGAGAGAGAGAAAGAGCAAGACCGGGAGACACAAACATACAATACCTCGAAATTAGGACTTTAAAGAGCGGATTTTTGCGTAACATAACATTCAACCATTTTGCTGAGGCTATTTTTGCACTTTCTAGACGCCCAGCTGGCCAAACAAATCCCCGTGCTGAATTCGGGTAGTATTGCTCAAAAAAACCGTACGTTCATCTAGGACCCCAAACTTCTACCTTTCTTAAGTTGTTTTTGATAAAACATTAAATTTTTTTGTTTTTTTGGTGAATATATGTATTCGGATAGAGCGTGAGAGAGCGTGAGCGAGAGAGAGAGGGAGGGAGGGAGGGAGAGCCGGAGAGAGAGGGTGAGTAGTTGACCAAGATCCAGAGATTCGAGTGAACTACGACATTGTATCATACTATACCGACTGTAAAACGCTTTAAATAATGGCAATGAAACAAATCTGCAAATAATTTTCGGCACTTTACAAATTTTTTGATTTTGGGCCGCTTTAAAATTTAAATCGTGTTTTCGCCAAAACCCACAAGATTCTCCAAACAAACCTCCTCCCTCCTGGATTTCTTGGAAAAAGCGCGTTTCAGGGTAGATAGCATTGGAATCGGCGGGCTTGGGGGTAATTCCAAGATTCGCAGGGGGCAATATATAAAATCGTACAAACAAAATCCAACAAATGTTCCTAGCTACTGCGCGTATTAATTCTGGACATCCTCGGGTTTCTGGACCCGGAATTTATCATTTTGGGGGTCCTCGTCCGTGCCGCGGAATTTATTAGCCAAAAAAAACCCCCTGGAAAACCGGTTGCCTAGAAAAAGTATTTTTTCGGGTCTTGAGTTTTGAATAACTAAAATACCTGCTAAAGGGTGTTAATTTGATCAGCAATGGCTTCGAAAAAAATTTTTACGTTAAAAATAGCTGAGAATTTTTTTTGATAAAATTTTCCAAGAATAATAAAAAGATTTATACTTAAGTAGGCTTGGCAAGAAAGCTCTTAATTAAAGCGTCCATTATACCGGCAATGCTCTGCTGATGCTGAAACATTTTTTATTTTTGATTGCAAAACGTTTTGAAGAAATGTTTCAGTAATGAAACGAGTCGTGGAGATTTGCGATGATCGAATTTGGACCACTGGGGATAGCAATAAATGATTCTTAACCTTCGACATTTTCCAATTAAGGAAAATTAATCAATATAGATTGCGTCTTTTGTTTTATAAATTTCACAGCTATTAGTCACAGTCAAGATATCACAGTCAGACTCTAGATATTTATTCGGGCTGCTTAGCTTAGTATTTAGATCCTGAATTCTTATTGATTAGTCTTTTATATTCATTTATTCGCCTATAATTATGTATCCTATTTTATTAATTCAATTCTATTTTAAATGCCGTTTGAAGCGGTATGAATTTAACTTTTTTTTCGAGCAATATTTCATTTTTTTTAGTTAAACAATTTTTTTTTGGAATATTTAATGCTCCGCTATCTTGAAAACCTAATTTATTTTAATTGGAGTAGCCTGTTTTAGCATCAATATAAAAAAGTAAAAAATAAAAAGTGAAAAGCTAATGGGATCCGCGGAACGGGAGGAGCTTTGGCTAGAGGAGCGGATGATTGGTCGGCTGAGGGATGGCCACCGGAAAACAGGGGTGAATCATCACGAGGGAACAGCTGTGCTTTTGATGCGAGAGAGAGAGAGAGCCAGAGAGAGAGAGAGAGAGAGAGAGAAAGAAAGAGAAAGATAGAGAGAGAGAGAGAGAGATAGAGAGAGAGAGAGAAAGAGATAGAGGGAGAGCGCGCGAAAGACAGATTTTGGTCAAAAAAACCCTGTTTCGGCACAATTTTTGGACGAAACTCTAATTTTCCTTCTACTAAAAAGAAGACAAGGGAAGAGAAGTAAAATCTATAAACGCAAAATTAACGTTTGCTAACAAAGGTTTTGCGAAACTGCAAGTAAACGGACAAAGATAACTTCAGTAAAAATGGTCTTCGAAAAAATAAATGTTGCGCCTCAGTTCCAATAGTCGAAAATTGTCGACCAGTAATTATAGCTGCATTCCCGGATCCACGAAATACCATACAAAAATAATATGAAAAAAACCAAGCTAAAAATAGTAGATTTTTTGTTCTTAATTTGACCTGAATATTCTGATCAAAAAACGAAAAGGCGGAGAATTCCATCTAAAAGCACGTTATGTAGGAATAGAATCCGGTGTTTCGTCACAAAGGCTTCTTGAAATGTTTTTTTACTGTCTTTAATACAGGCATTTTCCTGGCGATACCTTAAACCTATAATACGGAATGCATATAGGGAGGATTGACGTGAATTTTTAAATATAAAAATTGGGTTCTTGAAAACAAGGATGATACCTTGAATTCTGGGCCAAGAAAAAAAAGATGTTACGTCTGAATTATAATTTGCAAAATTGCGAACTTCTGCAGTGTACTTCAGTAAAAGACGCAAGAAATCTGAGATGAGGGTGCAGAGATCCAAAGGACAGTGTAAGATATAAAAAGTGTTTAGAAAAACACCTAAAAAATAGGGGATCGTGAAGTTCCTAAAGTGAACGGACTGGAGAGAGAGAGAGAGAGAGAGAGAGAGAGAGAGAGGGAGAGAGAAGAGAGCGAAAGAGAGGGAGAGCGAGAGAGAGCGAGAGTTCGTACTCCCCTCCTCGAGGTGGAGGACAGTTGCTCATCGAGCTTATAATCGTGTCGAGGGCATTTGTCAGGAGCTCCTTCTCCCTCTCAATATACCCTCAGGGCACAACTGACAGCCCCTCCCCTCCCTCCACCCCCCCAAATCCATCCATTTCGCAATCGGCTTGTGTGAACATGACACGTGAAAAATTGGCAACTAGCCAATTGCGAAGAAAGATTTTTGGAAAATTTCCAAGCCACCAAATAATGAACTGTTTAGTCTGCGAATGGCATTGGGCGTCTGTTTTTTGAAACATTATTTTTTAAAGGAAATGATGTTAAACCATAAAAATTTTGCTAAACCGAGTAGAGTACTCGATCATTAATACCGGCAAAATTAAATGTACTTAAAGGGCTAGTTCAGCCAATAAAACAAAAGAATTTCCGCGGCCAGGAGTCGAACCCTCTCTGCGTTTTTGTGTCTGCGCCTCTCACATTTCCCCGATCTCTAATTGCTGTCGTAATGGGGGACTGTTCGGGCGCACTGTGCCTACGTCCATAGTTTCCCAAGGTACCAGCCCAAGCTCTAAAAGTTGAACTAGCCCTTTAAGCTTAAAATGAAACGAGCCCTAAAATTGGCAATTCCGTGAATCGGATCTCACGTATTTTTTCTGGAACATTATTTTTGTTCATGAAAAACGCTTAAAATTCTACAGCACACTTGCTTTAATCTAAAAAGATTCTAAGAAATTATAGAACTATAAATCGGAAAATTGGCAAAGCTAAAATACGATCAATTGCCGAATCTGTCAATCAGGCTGGGGCCATCCTTCTCGAAGTATTATTTTTTACAGAATATTAACAACTCAAAAAATATGCAAAAACAAGAGCATAATCTTAATCGATCATGGATACGGGTAAAATTAAAAACAGTGAAAGTTTTGTAAAAGACTTGTACGGCTACGCAAATTGTCAATGCGGTCGACCGCACAGCACACATTTTTGTTGTAACCTTACTTTTGTTATTGAGGAACACTTAAAAACATACATGGGAATTCTGCGTTCTAAAAAGCTCCTAAAAAGTTGTGAAACGAAAAATTCGGAAAACTGGCATAAAATGCGAAAAATTGTTGAGTCTGTCAATCCCATTGGGGGCGTCTTTGTTGAAACATTAATTTTGGTACGATAGCAAATCGTAAAATCTAGCTACGATCAGGATATATTCTCAGCGATTATTAATATCATAAGTTGCTTGAAATTGCATATAAGCAGTTAAAACAAGCCCGCAAATGTCGTGAGTGCGATGTATTCCGTATGAAATCCATAGCCAACGCCTTGCAACTCCCTTTAAACACATCAGCACAGCGTAACCGATTAATTTTTGCCGTTTTTATCCATTTAATAAATCTCAGTACTAAAAAACTATTAACATTGCGGAAAACTCGGCCAACGGAGGATTGTTCTGTCTGCCAATTACTCAGCGTGCCGGTTTTGTGCAACATAGATTTTTTGACTGACTACTAGAAGCTCAATAAGCTAGTGTTGCCTTTAATTAAAGAAATTCAGCTAATTGTGTGTACCGAAATGACAACAACGAAGTAAATAAAACAAATGCTTCTGCCTTTTAGATTAAGGTTCATACAACAAAATTATCCTACGGCGCAGACTGCAAAAAATTGTCTTCTACGCACAAAGACAGTAGTCACATTGGCTACGGTTTACTTTACCCCCAGCCGGAAAGCCTAGCCCGAAAAACACAAAAAACCCAAACACAAACGTTGCCAATTATCGGCAGCGCAAAATTTTTAGTTTTATGGTTTTATGAAACATTGAATTCTTACAAAAATTTTTGAGTGGTTTGGTTCTTTAAAGATCACAGAAATTCCGTCGATTAATGAAACAATGGAAAACGATCGATACTTATGCAAATCCCCGGAATTTAGGGCACCGGTCGGGCACTAATACCGGGGAGAGGGAGGTATAGGTAGACGGGTAGTGGCAGGGTGGGAGGGACTTGTTTTCCTCCCAAACAAATTCCGTTCTGTGTATCGCTGCTGAGAGGGGAGAGAGCGAGAGAAAGAGAGAGAGAGAGAGAGAGAGACAGCGAGAGAAACAGAGTGAAATGGGCCAGAAATACCCAGGGCGGAAGAAGAGGGCAACCCGAAATTGTTTTCCGCCTCGAAACGAGGAGCGCTTCCTTTTGCGATGTCGAAATTACTCCACCCCGGATGTTTTAAAGAGCCGTTAGAGGTAAAAAAGGTGAAAAGCTACTTTAAAAATAAAAAATTAATTTAAATTCAAGGTTCCATCGTTTGGCCGAATTTAAGGTCGCCTTATCAAATTTCATTGTAACCGGGTTTGAGCCGATAAATTTACTATCTGAAAGCTATTTGACCATTTTCAAGGCCCATCGAAGGGAAAAATGCCTTGATGAAACGGAGAAACATCAAAATCGGCGTTTAAGGAATCAATGTTTTGTCGATTAGCCAAGTGTAGGCTCTAGGGGCGTAGCCAGAAAAAAATTTAGGGGGGCCAAAAATTTTTCCAAAGCATTCTAAACTACAACGAGAAAAATTTTTTTTTGAAAAAAACGTTACATATCTCTACAAATAGCCGTAAAAATGTGAAAAAATAGCGCCGCAGGCAGCAAAGGTTTTGATAAAATGAAAATCATAAGGGCCCCGGCCGATTTCGGGGGCGGCCCCCGGTGCCTGTATTACGCTACGTCCCTGGTAGGCTCAGACGGAAATCTAATCCGTCCTGTTCTGGAAACATCACATTTTCAGCGACTTTCAATTACCAATCAGGGGCAAAATGGAAGCCGGAAAAAACATTGAATCATGAGTTTTAGAGACGGGGTTTCACCGCTTCGGCAATTTGAAGGCAACCTATAAAAATTGTTAACGAAATAAACATCTCTGCCGTATCATCTCAATATTCACATGGCGCTTATCAAAAATAAACTAATAAAAATAATCAAATTTTATATAAACGAATTCTTCAAGTTGCTAGATAGATTTCCACGTGAAACACAGTTAACTGTTACTAAAAACGATATGAAAACACTTGCTATTTAAAAAACCTTTCTAGACATCAAAATTATAACCCCTCCACGATAATGCAAAAGTACCCAAAAAATTCGTGAAAAACTATTTGAGTGTCGATGTCGAAACCGCGTGTTTCACGCCCCGGGAGTTGGAGCCGATCTCCCGGGGGGCGGTAGTCTAAACGGGCCTCGAATACCCAGCGGGGCGTTTCCGAACCACAAAAAAGGGACGGGGGTCTCTATGGAGAGTGTGTAGAGGGGGGATGGACAAATAGTTTCGCTGTATGTGGAAATGGACACACCAAACTGTACGGGGGTGAATAGCCGATTACAGCAACGGGGAAAGAGAGGATCTCTCTTGCTCGCTCCCTCTCATTCGCTCGGTCTGTCTCTCTCGCTCTCTCACTCATTCACGCGCTCTCCCTCTCTTTCTCTCACTCTATCTCTCTCTCTCTCCCTCTCGTTCTCTCTCGCTCCCTCTCTCTCACTCTCGCTTTCTCTCATTTTTATCTCTCTCTTTTTCTCTCTCTCTCTCGCTCTCTCTCTCTTTTAAATTTAGGCAAATCCCTACTTTGCTACAAATTACCTCGGTGCTAGCAGCGTGAATGCGTAACTTTCTTGAAACACATTTATTTAAGGTTTTACGGCATAGGAGAAGAGCGAGAGAGAGAGAAAGAGAGAGGAGAGAGGGTGAGAAAGAGAGAGAGTGATAGACAGAGCGTGGGACATATCTGATAGCTTTAAACAAGAAAAACCTGGAAATTAACCAAAGCTCGAAATAAAATTTAGATTAATCGATCGCCCTAGTATTTAAATATTGTAGTTGTTGAAACCGATTTATTTTGAAACATTGTGTGTTATTTTTAGCATTTTCAGCAGAGCTTAGGAGTCATTTACGGTGTATTAAATATTTTTGTGAAATCAAGAGCTCAAAAGACGCTCGAGTAGCAGAATGACGGCCGGAAAAGTTCGAAAGAAAAAGTTTGGAAAAATGCCAACTTGCAAACGACCTCAGGTTCGCCAGTGCACATTCGCCTTGCGTAGAAATCTAGCAACAGGCCGAGGTCCACGGGCGAAACCGGGACATTTGCATAGAGAGAATTTGGGGTAGAAAAAGACAGAAGAAGAGAGAGAGAGAGAGAGAGAGAGAGAGAGAGAGAGAGGAATATGCAGAAAATTACTCGAAATGATTTCTGAATTTTTTACATAAAAACGGGCCAACTAGCAGAGATTTTTGACAAAATTGCCCGATTCCAGGTTGCGCAGGCGAAAATTACCACTACCCGTAAATCCTGAGAAAAACTCTATTCCAAGTATGCAATTGCCAACCGCTATTGAATTGATTAATTTAGTTTAAACTTCCCCAGCATTTTTCGTGAAACTTTAATTTTTTGAGAGTTGGTAAACAAACACATCGAATTCGGGTAGTTTTTGGGTTGTTGGCTCCCTGTTGTTTCCTCTCCATGCTGATAAGGGCTGCGTGGGTCGTGAAGCTTTGATTGCGTTTTTTGCGCAAAAGAAGAAATAGCTAAAAAATAGGGGAACTCGCATATTATGACAAAATTCCAGTTTTCCTTAATTCGCTGTCAGTGCATTAGGATGAAACAGCTAATTTTGTATGGATTTTTATACCGATTAGATTTACTCTTCTGAAAGGACCCGGCAAGGCAGGACCCAAATTTGTTGTCTTTAGATTCCTTATTATCTTGACCCGCGACACGCGGCGCGCGGGCCGGACTTCCAATGTGGACGCTTTACCACCCCGTTCAGAGCGACAAGCGCGTTGCGTGTCGCGGCACGGCTGAAGCCATTCGGCATCAGCATGTAAATTTCGTTCTAGTATACAGGGTGTCCCAATAAAAAACCTCTAACTTGGCGCAGAAGTATCGGATCGGAATCATAGTAACACCATTCGAAAGCCCTTGAAACGACGTGTTTGCACCCACTATTTTTTTATTTAAAGGCGCCACGTTACAACGCATTTAAAAACATTAAGGAACGACCTCTGCATCTAATTAACGGTTACTTCCGGCGTTTTTGTATGGAGAAATTGAGGCCAATTATCTCGTATACAACCCCCGAAAACCCGCAAAATTTTACAAAAAGGCTTCTAAAACGACGCGTTTAAATAAAAACATGGTCTTGAAAATTGTTGCAAACCTCCGTTTCAAGAGCTACAAATGGTGTAACTACCGTTCCGATTTAATGTGCGTTGCATCTAATTTTATTGATCTCGTATTGTTTCATCGATCTATTGAAAAATTATGAAACTTTCTATTTTTGGTTTATTTAAAAATAAAAATTACACAGATGAATCGTTTGTCGCCCCAGCAAAAGCGAAAAGGAACAAATTATGACATTTTTTTGTTTTGTTTTTTTTGTTTCGCTTGCGTCACAAAGGATTCATTCTGAGCATGTGCTTGGGGTGGATTTTTCGATATTTAAATAATAAAAAAAATCTGGGCAAAATTTATCCACAAACCGCCGAAGCCCACTATCGAAATTGGTTTTTTGTTCTCTGAAAAATTATGAAACTTAATTTTTTCGGATTTCGTTCACGTGGCTTCGTGAAAGTCTTGAAACTATGCAAGAAATGCAAAAGTCGCATCAGTTAAGCGAGCATAAAAACAGGCAGAGATAGAGCGAGAGAGAAAGAGAGAGATGAGAGAGAGAGCGACAGATAGAAATGATAAATGATCCGTTGGTTCGTGGAATTTACCCCTTTTCACTGTGCATTGGGGAAGGGAGGGGAGGGGGCTACGCGCAAATACGAGTTGACAGTTCAGCGATTCGAGGAAAAAATGGGTGGCGAGGGATGATGAATTGCGGCGACGCGGGGAATTTTACCGAAAATTTGGACTATAGGACGGGTATATTTGCAAAATTACCTGTGACCGATTTCAAAAAAGATGTGTTTCAGGAAAATTATTGTTGACCTACGAATTTCAAAATACAGATGATAACGAAGAAAACTCTGCCGAAAGGTGATGAAGAAATAGTGAAACACCGCAAAAGCAACCCTGGAAAACTTTTGAAAAATGTTGCAGAGAGAGCCTGTCGTATTAAAATAACCTATTATGGATTACGGTCCTAAATTCATGAAACATTTTTCGGCAAATATTTTTCGTAAATTGTAGCTGCCTATGGGGATAAAGGTAAATGGTTAATTTCTCTTAGGTTTTCTACGACTATCACTTATCTTTGGGCATTTTCCATTTCTAAGCTAGCGTTAGAGTTTAAGATAAATTTCAATTATTAGTGGATTTTTCAATAAAAAATAGGGGGACTCGCCAATTATGGCAGTTGAGAAATCAGTAGTCTCGCCGGGGCTTGAAGCATTTTTTTTGCAAAGAGTTGAAGAGTGGTTTACCAATATTAAATTTTGTGAGAGGCAAATTGAATCGGTAATAACGTTTTTTTTAAATTGTTTTGTTATAAAATTATAAATGGAAAATGACTAGACTCATAAAAAGGGGTCTTTTCGAACAAAATATTTTTAAATCGGTAATAAAAGTTTTTGGTCTATAACTTACTTTAAAAAATGACAGCATTTTCCTAGCAGATTTTCAGCAAATTTTTAGGAATCAGCTCACCTCGGGTCTGAGAAAATTCGGGGAAATTCGGAGAAAGATTAGGGAAAAGCCGCTTTCAGATTTCGACGAATTCTGTCCTAGAGGGGAGAGATAAGCCCAAACAAGAGAACAAAAAAATTAGTAAGAATAACAAGTCCGCGATCAGATTTTTTCGAAAAACCTCTTTTTTTTCTAAAAATTCCTTAAAACCCACCCCGCTGTCGGCGATCGAGGCGAAGGCCGCGGAAACGGAATCGCTAAGCCGGTCCTGAAAATTTGAATTTAGCAGGCAAATTTTTGGAAAAATTCGAAAATAGTAAGCCTGATTGGTTTTATTTTTGGATCCTAGATATTTTTTAAACCTGTGCTGTGTGTTAACCGAATTATTCATCACGGCTGACTTTTGTCTTGGGTTTTACTTAAAACACGAAAACTTCCCGGGGCCCGGAATTAAAATGTTAGTTGGTTTTGCTATTTATCACTATTTTCTCTTTTTTTATTATGATTTTATTCTTGTAACATTTTATCTATTTGCGGGTCCTTGTAGCTAATCAAAAACATGCAGAAGCATACGTTAATTATTTAAGCTACAAAAATTCCTGCTTATGTTGTATTTTTAAAACATATTGTTTAGGATCACTTTAATTTACAGGAAATGGAAATTGATTATTTGTATTTGGCAAAACAGTAAAACGAAAAAAATCAGAATTTAAAGATGTGGACAAAAATGAGTGTTTCAGCAAGTTCCCATTACAAAATTTAAAAATCGAAGGTGATACAAGGACATGGACAACGTTAATTTTTGAAGCTTTCTACTGCCGGTGGCTAAAAAACAGTGTTAAACATACCGCAAGGGTCTGTGACTCGTGCTCGCTCTGTTCGACGGCTTTTAGCTCGGTGCTGGGCTGTTGGGAGCGTTTGACGAACGGCTCCTCGATGGAATAGTCCTGGAAGTTGGGACTAGCGTATCAAAAATTTTTTAGAGGAAAAAAATGTGTTTGAATTTGGCACTATGCTTTCGCTCGCAAACATCGGATATTAAGCGAACGCGGTTGTCCAATAAAAAAGGTCTTGGAACGGAACACATTTTTTATTTTTTTGAGACAGGGTGTTTCCTTCTAATTATCTAATAGCTTAAATCAAACTCGCAAGCTCATTAGCAAATTATTCGGGCCGGTTTACCTATCTTTTACTCTTTTATTGCTTATACTATTTTCGCCTATTTAGCTGGTTAGGATTGAAAAAAGATCGGATCTTGTTCTTTAGCGGGGGAACGCCAGTCCCCCCACCGCTATTGAAGCAGCTCCAAAAGCTCGCAAAACTTCGACTTACATCGGGCGTGGGGGGCGGGGTGGCGTTCTTCTCGGGACTCGTCGACATCTCAAAACGTATCATGAATTTTCAGGAAAAGGATGTTTTATAAAATTTAGGAATGATAACTTTTGGAGAAATTTCTCCCGGCTGAAATAGTTATGTTCCATACGGCCAGCCTTGAATTGGCGAATTTTAACCGCAAACGGCCTCAGATAATTATGAAACATGCATTACTTCGATCGATAGGTACTGCTTAGGGGGATTTTTATTAGGTGAGAACCAATTTCTAGTTTTTGCCCATATCTAGAATAATATACTTATACTACTTTTATAGTTTTTTTATTAGTTTTTATTGCTAGAAGATGTATAAATGATTTTGAATCTAGAACTGTGTAAGATTACTCCCAAAAATTACTTCCTCCTGCTAAGCCCCGCTCGCTTCCCCCCCCCCGCTAAGGGTCCAGTACCAGTTTCTGTACCACACACGATAGCGACACTTAACGCGACAAATGCGACAAATCCATGGAAAGGCCTTTCGCGTTCCTTTAAACCTATCTTTGCTACCCCGATGTTGAATTTACAAGACACGACCTAGTGCGTCAATAATACGGTCGGAAAGCGCGAGAAAGAGAGATAGGGAGAAAGAGAGAGAGAGAGAGAGAGAGAGAGAGAGAGAGAGAGTAAAAATTTTATGGAGCGAACGGTTGAGTGACCGGAACAGCCGGATGGAATGAAATGCCGAAGGGCGGCGGAGATTGGTAGACGATAGTGGGGGAGGCATGCCGTGGGAAAAAGAGTGATTCATCGTCTGGCCACTAGCAGCCGCCGTTTTTTCAATTTGTAGCCCGATTTCAGACATAACAAAAATGAGCTGTCTGGCATTAATCGGGTTTCAATCAGCAAAGAATACGTCGGGGGGTTTTCGGGGTCAGGAATTAATTTTGGAATCGAATTAGGAAATAGAGACAAAATGGAAGCGAGTGAGAAAGAGCGAGAGAGGGGAGAGGGCGAAAGAGAGCAAGAAAGAGAAAGAGAGAGAGAGAGAGAGAGAGGAGAGAGAGAGAGAGAGAGAGAGAGAGAGAGAGAGAGAGAGAGAGAGAGAGGGAGAGCTAGACCGAGAGAGCGAAAGTAATTTTTATTCTTATTATTATTATCTCTATCTCATCACAAAATTCGGATTAATATCAATATTCCAGCAGTACCCAAAGAATGAAAGAACATAAAATGACCCACAAGACCAGGAGCCTCACCTTTTTCTGGGTGCTGAGTCGCTCGAATTGCTGCTGCAGGGCTTCCTAGAAAATTGAGATAAAGGAAAAATGTGCAAATAATTTGATAAATAATGAAGCAAATAAAAATAAAATAATAATAGAATATAATAATAAAAGCAAATAAAGTGCAAATAAATCAGTTTCATCTAGATTTAAAAAGAGTTTATTGGTCATCTAACGAAATATATAGATCAAGTAGCTTTGTATGAAGGTTTCTGTATGAAACCTAAAAATTTAATGAGCCTCTTGGGCACACAGTGAATTAAAAAAACCTTACCTCTAAAAATTTCAAAAACGTAAACATCAACGATTGAATTTAATTAAAAGTATCCGTTTCCTATCGGAACCCTCAAACCCTCAAAATTCAAGATGTTTCACCAAGGACTATAAAGAAATTAATTAATGGCTGCTTTAATCGGGTTAGCCCAATTAAAAAAAATTTGTGACAGATAGGGCTTTTGCTCTAAAGGTTTAATTTAAAGAATAAAAAATTTAATTAAAGATATCGGCTTAGATTACCTCTGCCGCCGGCAACACCTCGTCGACAATACGATGGCTGAGCGCATCCAACACGTTTTCCGCTTCCGTCTCCATTTCCGGGGCTTCTAGCTGGAAGGAATTTTTATTTGGGCAGGTTATGTTTTTATTTCATTTGTAGCCGAAAACGGTTCGATTCGTTACTACAAAGTAAGAGAATTCACATTTTTCAAAAATTTTAAAATTCTAAAGAAGATGTTTGGCATGAGAGGCTGCTTCTTCCGTTTCTTGGAATTACCGTATTACAACTTCCGTAATTAGTATTCCACCATTAGTTCGACAGTATTCTAACGTTTTTCGACACCTTAATTAGTAATCGATTAGAATTTCGACAGCGTGATTAGTATTCCACCGTAACTTTAATGGCGTAATTATTAATTCACCGTATTTCTGACACCTCATTTTTTGAGGGAAATGAGCGTTTCGAATTTTCAGAGTCTCAAAATAGCGGAAATGCACAACGAATGGAGTCAATTTATTCATCAAAAATTGTTACACCACCTAGCAATTTTTATTGATTGAAGCGCAGCAAAAAAACTCTATTAGCGAGTGGTCAAAGAAGAACGACTTTCTCCAGTAATTTTTGGCAGAAAAAGAATGCTTCAACTTTCGAGAATTAGTTGCGATAGTGGAATTCTTTAATTTCACAGTCGTTATGCCACCGATGCTCATTGCGTAACGTCTTTTCAGAAAAAAAACAATGAATAGAATTTTTAGAACCTTATACTTTGGGAAAATGTATTAATACGTAATAATTAAAAAGGTTTTGAGCAAAGAAAAACGTCTTCCAATAATTTGGACAGAAAAAGAATGTTTCAACTTTTAAAAATGATATGTGCGGGACGCATGTTTTAATTTAGCAGGCATTTCCATCCCAGGTATTGCTTTCGAAAATGAATAAATTCCCGTTTTAAAATCGGAACGCTTTTAGAGGGATTGGATTTGGGGGGATTCAGAATTGAGAAAAGGAAAGAATCGCGAGTCCTTCGAAGGGCCGAAAGAGAAGATAAAAAGTGGCCCTTTCTTGGGCCGAGGGGCAGCGCTTCGGGACCCCTGAAAATAGCCAATCAACCGCCCATTGACTGCCCACTTTTCGCTAGTTTTTCGAATGTAAAAAAGAGAGGAATATTTTGCGTGGAAAAATGTTTCCAAAATCATCTAAGAAACAGGTCTTATATTTCGGCGCATCGATTTCGTCGCTAAAATATCATTGACGAGTTAGTAGGTGTCAATAGATATGGACAGATGTAACGAATTACTAACCCCTAACCGCGAATATTCTAATTTCCCAGCCCACACGTCGCGGCTGGTTGCTAATGGGCAAAGACACCGGTTTGTTTGCGGCCCAAACAAGGGACCAAATATTGACCCGATACCTCCCGGATCAAGGACCCAAAAGAGGCACTATTGAAACCAAAGAATTTGGCATTTTCGAGAAATGTATAATTTTGAAAGCTCTAAAGACGAAAATGAAAGATTTAGGATGATTGTATTATTTAAGAGGTTATTTAAGTGGATTTTGTAGCCAATGTGCAATTATAATACAAATAAAAAGTCTTGTAAACCTTTGGATTTCAAAACTACAATTTTTGGAATAGCTGCCAAAAAGCGTCGATGAAATTCTAAGAATGAAACATGTTTTGTTAAAATTGAATTTTACATTTTTCTGTACGCACAACCTGGAAATATGTCGATAATGCGTTTTATTGGAGTACAAATGTAAATCAATAAATTGAAGCTGTGAGCTTGGGTAGGGGAAAAGCCCTACCGGGGCACGGATAATGGAAAACACATGTTTCACTTTGTCGGGTTGGTGGGGAATTTTCTCGAGCAGTGTCGCATTGGTCGGTATTAACAAGATGCTTTCAAAGAAATTAAATACTAGTAAACGTTCCTTATTTGATTGTTTAGCGAAGGTTTGGAATCTTAGCCGAAAATCGGCGACTTTTGGTCGAAGAATCGATATTATTGTATTTTTTACAAAAACTTTGTAGATGTTTATGTTTATGAAGAGTAAAAATGCGCTTAGAAACACTTGAACATTTCACAAAAATCTTGGATCACAGGGAAAAACAAAATCGATTTCTCGCCCACACCAAAAATTCTAAAAACCGTTGAAAATCGGTTTTAGAACGAAAATTGCGAAACTGCAAGTTTCTCAAAAAACCTGCAAATACAAACAATTTGATTCAGCTTGAACCCTTTTTAAGATTTGCATTAAGGGATCCAAAACGCGAAGCTCCAACTCTTGTGACACGATGTTTCAACGTGGTTTCTACCCAAAACGAGTTGCCCCAATATTAATTGGCAGATCATAACCTATACTACTACCTAAATTGTGAGCGATTAGTTAAATTCGAAATTCGAAATTTTCATCCTAAATTAAACATAAAATTCTCATACCTGAAACGTCGGTGTCCGGTCACCCATTCTGGTGGCAATCGATTCTGCAATGTGCTTTATTATTGCTTGACCAGCAAATTGCTCATAAAAACAAGCAAAACATTCCGTTTTTAAAAAGCTATGAGCGCATTTTAGACATATTTGAAAGTATCTACAAAAATATCTTTCTGGCGTTCTAATTAACTTAATCAACTTAATTTAATTTAAGTTAATTGCTTTGTCTAATTCTGGCGCCGGGAAAGCAACGAAATACGCCATTTTCTTACAAAAAAGGGTCAGGTTTTGATATGTAGTTAAATACAGTGGAGAAAACGGCTTCTCAATAAATATTATACATTTAAAACCATTAAATAAAAAGTTGGTTTTCTCCCTGAGAACACGACCCACCACCGTTAATGCAAAAGAACCAAAAATCGGAAGAAGGGTTGGGTAATTCCAGAAAAATTAATGTTTCTCAAAGGATAACCCTCCAGGCGCTTTGTCTCGCCGGATTAATTCAAAGCTCGGCGTATCGTTTTAATAAACCTTTCGGGCTTAAAAAGAAGAGGAAAACAATCAAGAAAAGGTGCGGAAAGGTATTTAAAAACCTCCGGAAAAATTATTATAGCTTTGTAAAAAGGGCGTTTCAAGCCTGATGTGTCACCAGAAAGTGACGGGATTACAGAGTGGACGCCCAGCCGGAGGCACTAACCTTTTTTTTCAACTCCGAAAGGGCCAAGAGGATCGAGCTGGAAAGAGGAGCTGTAAAATCGGATGGGATGGCGAGAGAGAGAGAGACAGAGAGAGAGCGAGAGACAAAGAGAAAGAGAGAGAGGGAGACAAAGAGAGAGAGAGATAGAGAGGCAGAGATAGAGAGAGAGAGAGAGAGAGAGAGAGCGAGACAGCCAGCGAGAGAGAGACGGAGAGAGAGAAAGCATTGATAAATAGAGATGCTCCTCCCTCTCTACACCACAACAGCTGACCTAACGGCCCTAACGGACTGACTATCCCCGCCACTCGCGAACACTATCCCCGTTGTGGCTTCATGTTTTTTCGCTGCAGGCCCTTGCAGAGGACTGATGCGTTTAAAGGGATGGTGACACATCGAGAAAAGCCGCGGATCGACAAATCTTTTGCCTTATCGGGGTGGAACCAAATTTTTTGATAGCGTGGAATGGTCTAACGTGGAAACACTATCCAAAGAAGCTTTTAAAATATTTACAAATTCGGAACTTTGATCGAAAAATCGATACTTTGGCAATTTTGCATAAAATTTGTGATTTTTTGCGTTTAGGCATAGTTAAAGCAGCTTAGAAATTGAAAACGCTAATTATATGTATCTTTTAAATAAATGGATACTAACAAATTACCAAACTGTAAGGAAAAAGTTTGCAATTTGGAAAAATGAATGTTTTGCCGCATTGCCGCATGCCAAAAAATTTGTGTACAGTATTGACATGAGTTTTTCTTCCCAGTCTGAAAATCGATATAACGCTTACAAACACATAAAAGCCTCTAAAAATTAAAAATTCTGTGTTTTCAAGCGACGCGACATAGGGCTTCGAGAACCTTCTCTGCCAGATTAAAAAAAAGGTTAAAAAATGTGTTTTTCAATGAACCGCATGAGCATCGAATTCTATGCCTATAGCGAAACCGCCATTCTTGTCGTGCAATGCTAGAGCGTTTCAGCGAAACTTTGGCCAAATATGAATGATTGATAAAAAAGTGTTTCATAAAAACGTCATCATCGAACATTTTTTCGGCCGTTAATGTCCAGTGCTGCTTGAGGTGCTGCTTGTTAAAAATTCATAAATTTCCACAAATTATTTTCAAGTAAAATGCTCGGGCAAATCTGGTGTTTACAGGGTGCGGAGAAAGTTTTCGGCGGGGCAAATAACTCTGTTACTCGAAACCTAGAGGTTTATTCAGATTTTTTGGATTCGAGGCTGGAAAGTGAAGACTCATGCATCATATTTCACGACTGGATTACCCAAATTCAAAGATTTTACCCGATTAGAACGCCCGAAAAGATCATTTTAGAAACGCCCCGGCACGCTGCTGTTTCCTTGATGTTACAGTACCCCCTGCGAGCTATCCTTGGTCAAAAGGCACAAAATTTTGCAGAGATGTTGCCAAAACTGTGGTCTATCTTCCCACAAAATCTCAAGAAATTTTGCTTCAATTCGAAAGAGTTATGACGCTTCTAATTTTGGTGAATTTTTGGTCGAGACGGGAAACCTCCTGCCAGTAATCGCAAAATCCGAAGAGAAAGGCCTTGCTAATGGGATTTAGCGTACGGATATTCTTAACCGACACCCCTTAAGCTAAAAAAGAAAAACGATGCTTGAAACCAACGCTGGAAACAGCTTTTAGGCGGTGCTGAACATTCTAAAGCCTTGGCACGCTGCCGCCTTTCAGCCAAAACCCCTGAGAATTCAGCCATGTCTGTTGACAAAGCAATAATATTGATATGGAATAATGCTAAGGGGTACGTAGATCTTTATAATCCATGAACTCGGAAACCTGCTAGTCTGCCACGGAAAATTTTAACGGCGCTTTCTTAATCGGCCAAATGGTGGCCAATTTCGAAACTCGCCTGCGCATCGGTGTTCCGAGCTCGGTTATTTTAGCTGAGCACTTATTAAAAAATCTTTGGCTCGTGAAATCGGATGAGAATTGTCCCAATCTATCATGACACCACAAAAACGTAGACAAAACGCTCATCTTGACAAATATTTTTCATAAAAGGTGCGCCGCCGAAAAGTTTTTCCGCACCCTGTATGTAAATTAATTACTCGCCGTTCAAGTGTAATAGATCAAAAGAAAAAAGGATGAGAATGCCGAAAAATGCACACATGAAACTGACCGAAAAAAAATTGCAGGAAAAGCGGATATTATTTTGAATCACACAATTTGAATGCCTTCCTGAAAATTCCCAGGTCAACGAGGATATGAGTGACGGCTTCATTTTTTTTCCCTTGCAAAACCTATTCGCCATGATGAGCGCTTTTCAAGGGTTTTCTCTGATCAGCTACTTGTGCCTCTTCTTCTTCTTCGTCGTCATCGTCGAGATTCAGGGTTTGTATTCTGAAGTTTCGTAACTTTTTGGAGTTTGTGATCGCCAAAACCAACTGGTTTTTCAGGAAAAGAATACCTGTGCCGTCAGGGTGTCGATTACGGCCTTGTGGATACGTGGACTCGCGAACAGGGACCGAAGAACTCACCCTGTAGGGATCTCGTGAGAGACGACAAAGATGAATGGCATACACGGATGATATTTGGAGAGAAGATTGGAGACGATCTTTATTACTACGGTAGGTAGGTTGCTCTCTCTCTCTCTCTCTCTCTCTCTCTCTCTCTATCTCTCTATCTCTCTCGCTTTCTTACTATCTCTCTGTCACTCTCTCGCTTTCACTCACTCTCTCTACCTCTCTACCTCTCTCTCTCTCTCTCTCTCTCTCTCTCTCTCTCTCTCTCTCTCTCTCTCGCTCTTTCTCTCACTCACTCACTCTCGCGCTCTTTCTCTCTCTTTCTCTCGCGCTTTCTGTCTCTCTCTCTCTCTCTCTCTCCTCTCGCTTTAATATACTTATTTTTAGGCTGCCGCGTGCCCGAGCAAAACTACTGCCACGAGATCGTGAACACGCAGGAGACAGTGGATCGGGCTGGGAAGAAATTGGTGCCTGGCTGCTACGCGATCGGCACGACGACTGTAGTCAATGATACGGAGAACTGTTGGTGCGAGACGGGTACGTAGAGAGAGAGAGAGAGAGAGAGAGAGAGAGAGAGAGAGAGAGAGAAAGAGAGAGGGTGCGAGAGATAGATAGATTTTTAGTTGACGGCAAGCAGATCCACCTCATCTCCAACACGCACAAGGAGGTGTTCGCCGAGTACGAGAAGTACATCGCTAAAGAGGTCAGTTTCAACCACTTGTTGTTAGCAACTCTAATGAATGGATCCCCCGTTAATACAAAAGTACCTAATTTTTACAGGTGGACATCACGAACCCGGCGGCCCGGAAGAAGATTGACAAAAAGTGCGGCTGGCGGAAGATTTTTACGCGACACATCCCGACCACGACTACCACTACTACGACTACTACTGCTCCTCCTCCTGCGCAAGGGTGAGGGAGAGCGAGAGATAGAGAGAGATAGCGAGAAACTCCCATTAATGCCTTCAGAATGCCCGATTGGCTGCCGTACGCGCTGGGCGGGGCAGCCGCACTGTTGCTGCTCGCCGCCGCCGTGACGACGGCCGTCGTGCTGAACGCGAAGAAGAACAAGAAGAAGGGCAAGAAGGAGGTATAGTTTCGCTTGGGCGGGTCGTATCTCCCCCGATATGGCCAAAGTACCCAATTTGTATTTTACTGACTAGCAAGGATTTTCTAGGAAATTTACAAGGGAGTGAGAGGGCGAGAGAGAGGGTGAGAGAGAGACAGAAAGTGAGAGATAGAGAGCAACTCTAGCACTCCCCTAATTCCATTTCGCTCCTCAGGACGAGGCGACGTCCACCGAAGATGCGGCTCCCGAAAAGTCCCAAGTCAGCGAAGCCACCGAAACCACCAACGAAGTGTGAAGCGCTTGATCTAGGAATTTGTCGTCTGTACTATGTACTCTGTAGTCTCAGCCCCTCCGGCTGTGTAATTTGTAGTCTACGAAATTCCCCAACTAATTGTCCTTATTTTCTGCCCTTCTCGCCTTATTCGTGTTTTTCCTTTGGGTGTGGTGTGAATAAAACCAAGCAGCAGGAAGCGGACCTCGAGGTTTCTATGTATGTCTCTCGATCTTTCTCTCGCTCTCTCTCGCGCTCTCTCCCTCTACCTCTCTCTGCCTATCTCCCTTTTCTGACGACTCTTCGGATTTCGGTAATCCGTTAAGCATTAAAAATGCGCAATCTGCAAATCTGCAAATTTGGATACAGATAATTTGCATCCGGTGAGACTACCGGGTTCTGCTCCTTCTCCTTCTCATTCTTCGTGGCTCTGCGTTTCCCAAACCATCTCTGCCTGGACGATGGGGCCCCGTCTCGCGTTGGCTCTTCTGTTCGTCTTCGTCCTACTCGCTCGCGTCGACGGGCAGGGTTCGGCGGGATCGCTGTCTCGAAGGTGCCTGGGGTTATCCTTTGCGGCCGCGGAAAGGAGCTCCCAACCCAAAGCCGGAGGACTACGGTAGGATCACTCGAATTAAAACGTTCTAGGGCGAACTTGGCCATAGAGTTTCGAGCATTAATAGGACTTGTCGTGACCACACCGCACAGGGTGCCGCAATAAAAAAACACCGGTTAGTGTGCGATTTACCCCTCCCTCGCATTAATGGATCTCAACTCTCTGTATCGGCTGCTGATCAGTGTAAAGTATTCAAACTGCCGCCTTGCTCTGGCGAGTATTTTGGTATACTTCACACACGAATTGGTATCATAATGTCGAAAATCATAATGTCGAAATTCATAATGTCGAAATTTCATAATGTCGAAATTTCATAATGTCGAAATTTCATAATGTCGAAATGTCATAATGTCGAAATGTCACAATGTCGAAATTTCATAATGTCGAAATTTACATAGGCTAATTGCCGGTGAAACCGCCAAATCCTAGCCAAAAAAAAATTTTCCACATTCATTTTTTTATCTTACCAGGGTTGAAAAGCCGCTTCGCGACTTTCAACCCTGGCTCTGTCTGGACAAATGAAGCAACTTTGCATTAATTCAGCTTCGATTAAGCTGACAAAAATGAAAAGATTTTCTTCCATAGGCTTTTATAGGCTTCTTTTACTTCCGGTATATGCTAATTGTTTCCTACCAAAGAGGGTTCTCGAAAAATTTAGAAAAATGTATTTTTAATACCGAAAATCGCGTATTTCGATAATTCTGTTATGCGTGCAGTCATCGCAGAGCCATTACGCGAACCTAATGACGTCATCATACGTACCCTAATATTCATCCCCTATTGGGTTATCCTCCGGACACCAGAGACGAAGTTGCATGCAAATCGACACACACACACACTAGACACGTTCTTTATATATATAGTAGGATTTCACGACAACATTTTTTGCCTAGAATTCGGGGACTGTACCGGGAATTTTAGCTTATGTAAATTTCGACATTATGACATTTCGACATTCTGACATTTCGACATTATGACATTTCGAAATTATGACATTTCGACATTATGAATTTCGACATTA